GCCCGCCCCACGGCACCTCCGGCAGCCGAGCACGGGGACGGCTTTCCCCTTACAGGAAGCTGAGGCATTCCCTGCGGATTTGCAAACCTAGAAGTACTTATATGCACAAACATGTGAGGCTGAAGCTGTGCCTTACACTGAAGATTAATGAACTTTGGCTTCGTACCGTACCACCGTACTGCTGGGTAGGCAGTGATAGCGTGAACTTTCGGGCATAAACAAGGCCTTTGAGTGGTTGTCACAGAAAGTCCAGTACCACTGTTAATTGAAAGGAACAAAAGCTTATAGTATGAGACCCTGGAGCAACTTCCAGCCAAGTCTGGTATTTTATTATTCGTCAAAAACAACATGGGGGCCAGCAATCTGATTTGGGCATGTAAATTCTTTCATGAAACAAAAGGAATGCTCTTATAAGTACTACTTTTGAACCTATTCATTCTTCATAGAAAATATATAGGAAAACCACAAAGTTTGGAAAAGGAAGAAACATTATGTACAGTTCAACTTTTAAAAGTATCTTAGACTATTATAGAAGAAAAAAAATACTAGTCTTTTCTTGACTGGTAATACTAGTACAAGTGCCTGAAAACTGTGATGATTTAAGTTTTTACATGCAGCAAATATAACAGAATACGTGAACTCATAAAATCCAGCATGAGAAGTAAAACTAGCTGTTTACAGTTAACAACCTAATTAATCCATCTGATTTACAGAATTCAGGAAATACTGTTTTCTGTACAACTAAAGCTTACATTTAAAGAAAATTAGAGTCCCTCTTTTGTTCAGAGATTGTCCAAAATTAGGTACTTGCTTACTGCATGGGACTACTTTTACAATCTTTTGGTAGCACTTTGAAAATCTGCCACTAAGCTTCATCTCTCTTTCCTGCCTATTTGTTTTTCTGACGTAAAGCAGCCTAATTGAAATGGATGCAGCATTACATTCCCAGCCACAAAGGGTGGGTGAAGGTGTAAATGGCAATATTTCTATCTCTGGTCTTTGCATAAGATGTTAATTTCTCTACTGCTAGGCTTTGCTTGTTACTAATGTCAGTAATCTGATACTGATACTTCATGAAAAGTATCAGTATTATTTCTTAAAATCTGTGTAAAATTTCCAAGTGCTTCTTTCTTGCCTTATGAAGTACAAAAGTGTGTAGTGACTTGAAACAATACTTTATACACAAGTTATGGTCTTCTCTGGTTGCCTCCTCCCATTTTCAAAACAAATTTTTTCATACATTTGTCTCACTTGGGAGAACAGTGACATTCCAAGCGTTCTTCCCTCTTAAAAGATATTTGATACACTAATAAATGCAAAATGTCACAAGTTTGGTTTTAAATGTCTTGCAAAACCTCAAGATTTTTTAATTTTTCCAACTTCTTTTAGAGCAATAGGTAATGGAAACATTGAATCATAAAACGGGTTGGATTGAAAAGGACCTTCAAGTTCATCCAGTTCCAAACCCCCTCCATGGGCAGGGATGCCTTCCATTAGACCAGGTTTTACTCAGAGCCCCATCCAACCTGGCATTGAGCACTTGCAGGGGTGAGGCATCCACAACTTCTCTGGGCAACCTGTTCCAGTGCCTCACAGTAAAGAATTTCTTCCTAATATCTAATATAAACCTACCTCCCTCTGGTTTAAAGCCATTCCCCCTTGTCCTATCACTATATGCCCTTGTAAAAAGTCCCTCTCTGGCTTTCTGGTAGACCTCTTTAGGTACTGGAAGGTGCTATAAACTGTCACCTTCTCTTTTCCAGGCTGAACAATCCCAACTCTCTCAGCCTGTCTTCATAGGAGAGGTGCTCCAGCCCTCTGATAGTATATAAATACATAATGGTTAAAGGTCACACCTTGAAAACTTGCTGAAAACATCTAAGTTATGCTTAAGAGTTATACTTGTACACTTGTATCTGAGAAAGTGCAAATACAGTTGTCTTCATTTTGCAGATAAACACCTTGTTTTGGTTTCGTCTGTGCTTTGGCCAATAAAGATTACATATTTTATCATATAGTGCTGAAGGCTAGGAGGGATTAATGCAGGTTTGGTGTCCTCATTGCCTCAGAGCTTTGTTCTTTATAGGGTGAAATACAGAGGGTTTATTAACCCCTTGGTTACCCCTTTGGAGGGTTAACCTCGCAGAAGGTCTTAGAAGCCCCGAACTTACCAAAACAAATCAATCACCATTGCAACTTTGCAAAAGGCTCTGCATGGAGATTTTTTTTTTTAAATAAATATGAATACCTTCTATACACAATATTCCTGAGATAGTCACTTACGATACTATTGAAAGTTTTTAACGGCGTCTCCTTTTGTGTCTTTTTGATATTCCTTTTTTCTTTGCAAAGTAAGGAGAGTTTTGGAGAACTTGGATTCAGAACACATATCTATAAAATAGACTGCAGAATACACTGAGTTTATCTTTAGATTTTGATAGATCTTTTCTGGCATGCTAGAACAATATACATTTGATAAGCATGGATTTTAGGACTGGCTATTGCAAAATCTAAGTTTTAAAAGACTAGAGCGTCCACTGACTGGACTTGTATCTTACCTTTTCAGTGATAGTTTCTGCTGTTGTAACTGCATGCAGAGGATTGGCAGTGAGAACTGCTGGCCTGAAAGTGGAAGGTCCAAGTGAATGGCAGTAGTTTTGCTCAAAATATACCTCTGGAGAACTCTTCTAGAACTTAATAGGGAGTGAACCAGTAAAACTGTGAATTAATGCCTTTATTAGCCCATAAAAATACTAACAATCATATCTACTTGTATTTCTGTTTTTCTTTGATTTTTCTAACATCTTAGAAAAACAGAAGTTTTAAAACTTCCATAGAAAAGTGAAAGTGAAGTGTAATAATTCAACTTCCTTAACAGTAATGCAGTAGTAAAAGATGAGGCTGAAACCAAATCTTTCTGCCTTTAATAGATTCAAATACAAGCTGATTTTCCCTGAGCAGAGGCAAGCAGAACTAATCTGAATATATGTGTGATTTCTGTTTGAAATGATCAGTTTTATATAACAAGTCTTAAATGCTTATTTAGCCCTAATGTTCCAAATGTTAAAAATTCAAAAAGCAGTATCTATGGAGAGTAGGGGGAAGATTTCCCTGGTAATTGTTGAGTTTTTTACATTACTATTACAAAACTCATACAGAGTAATAAAATTTTTGGATAACTTTCTTTGGACCATATTAAAAAAAATACTGTCTAAACCATCTGAACTGCGGTTTAAATAGTACTTAAATTCTACCTTCTAAAGCACAAGCCGCAAAACCCTGTAGATGTCGTCAGCCAAGTCTGCCAGTGGATGTAGTCGGTGTCCATAGACATGTGCAGTGGGCCCCTAATATCTTCACTGCAGCAAAAGAATGACTGCTTAACTTAAGCCTAGTTTGTTTGGGGCCTGGGTAGTGCTAGTAGGTTAAGGGTGTGTCCAGTACAGAAAAGTTCTGAAATCAATACCAAGTACAGAAGTTACAGAGAG